CCAAATTCAACCCAATAATTTGAACATGTATATAAAGTTATTTGAATTAATAAGCAATACACAATTCACAATAACAATTCACAATTCACTTAATTAACACATTACTAACGTACGTTATTTGAACTAATTTCACTAAACATAAACATCATTACGTTTTAAACCACATTTATCTAACTAATTTTAATTAAATTATTTTAATTTATAAACCTAAAAGTTTAACTAATTCTAATTTATGACATTACTACGCTTATAGTTAAAACATGTTGTTAATTAATTAACAACCTCACTAATTTAATAGTTTTAATAATTTAAATTGAACCAACTAATTCTAAATAAAAATTATAATTCAAATAACATACCTTATCTGCATAAATAGGGAAAATGATAGAAGATAGACTACATCCTTCGATCTACGGATACTGTATATACTGGGAATGAATTGGTGTGGTTCTGTTGAATGAATGAGCTGCTCCTGCATATATAAAAAATTTAGTCACGGACTTAGTCACGGATTTGTCCGTCACTAAGCAAAACCGTATCCAACACGCGTCCAACACGTGTTAATTACGTGTAAATGACGTGTTAATCAACATAGTCACGGAACTAGTCACGGATATGGCCGTGACTACATTTATCCGTACATAATGCCGTTGCGAATTAACTAAGGGAGTTGAAAAAAAATAAATTTTAACTATAGTCACGGGCATAGTCACGGAATTGGCCGTGACTAAGTCGTCGGAGTCAAATAAACTTCGCCGGAAACGGGAATGGGCCTATCGGAGGAATTAAGTCACGGTCCATGACCGTGACTAACATTAGTCACGGTCATAGTCACGGCTCTGACCGTGACTATTTTTTTTTTAAAATTTCCGTGACTAGTCCGTGACTAGACCGTGACTAAACTAGTCACGGTCGAAATCCGTGACTAAAATCCGTGACTATGACACTGTTTTTTTGTAGTGGAGAGATAGAGAGAGGTGGGGAAATGGTGGGGTAGAGGAAAAAAAGATTATGTTTAACTATTATTTTTAAGGAGAGAGATAGAGTGAAAAAGCAATGGGGAGAGTAAATGGAGAAAAGGGAGGAATGACCCAGCTCCTAGATCTATAAGTAATATCAGGGAGGAATAAATGGTGTACAATTGTACATCCGAGTCGGCGTGTCGTAATAGATGCTTGGGAGATTGTTGGGTTTCTGCATATCCTTTTCTTGATTTACAGATTGGATATGGATTTTAGCAATTATCTTTGCCCAAGTAAATAACTTCTTTTAAATTAGATTTTTCAGTGAAATTGAAAAACGATGTTTTATCTATAATTTAAAAGTCTGTTTGATAACACTAAACTTGACTGAATCATTTGAATTTGGTGAAGTTGGTGAAATTAGTGAAATTCTAACTGAAATGATTGAATTGGTCGAATCTCCCATGGAGAGCCGTTGAAGAAATTGTTGACATGTGGACATACTCTTATTGGAAAATTTGACATGTGTCAACATTACAATAAATACCTCATTCTCAAGTGTCTAAACACACATATACATGAGTACATGACATCCAAATCTATGGAGAGCACAATTTTAATAGAAGGGTAAAATACACGAAGGGGTCGCTCTGAAATTACTCCCTTTGTCCTTTAAAATATGACCAAGTTTGACTAACACGAGAAATAAAAATTTTGTAGTTATTATTTATGCGTAAGAGAATGAATTAACTAGAAACACAAATTCTTTACTTTAAAAAAGTGTCAAAATTAATGGGATACGAATTGATAAAATTCCAGGTCCCGAATTGATAATTCGTCTTTCTTTCAGGTCCCGAATTGATAAAATTCCAAATAAATAAGATACGAATTTGACGCTTATATGAGTTACTAGTTTTTTTTACGCGCGTTGCGCGATTGGGTGAATGCCCAATGTGATATTTGTACAAATCATTTGCACCAAATACGTTTCTTATGGGCGATCATTAGTAGTTTTGGAAGATCATTAGTAGCTAAGGAAGATCATATAGTAGTTCTAGACCTTGGACCGCTTCGGTTCCTAGGCAAAGTAGATGAAACAACTGACAAAATTATTTATGAAACTGGCATGGAAGCGAACCATTCTTTAGTAGTTTGGTTCTTGCTAGTTTTTAAAAAATATATTTAAAAACACTGGTAAATTTGTGCCAAATAAAGTCATTCAACGTTGAAAACTATAATAAACATAAATATGTTTATCATCATTTCGAATCTCAAAAGTTGAGTTTTAAACATAAGTACATACCGAACTGACAATTTAGTACATAAAATAAAACAAGATATTCACTACAATCAATAATTATGATCTTGAATCAGCAATGTAAATTAGTAGAGACATAAAGTTTGTGAAGAGCAAAGCATCCAAAGGACCCATTCCAAATAGCAAACTTAATATAAAAATAAATAAGTAAATATACATTAAAATATACGTAGTATATACTAATAAGTAATATATAAATTTTTAATTATTATATATATATATATATATATATATATATATATATATATAATGGTTCCTTAAAAGTTTCAAGCACATACTTTTTTCAGGAATCGAAAAACAACCGTTAATAAGAAATAGGAATCGAACCATTAATAAATAACTAATAAATGTTGGAACCGAACCGAACCAGGCCATAACGGTTCGATTTTCCGATTCTTGGTTTCAAAGTCCCACCTCTAATAAGACCTGTTTAGGAAAACAAAATATAATACTCCGTATGTAATTTGAAGGAATAAACAGAGCACTATTCACGGGTAAAATTTGTAAAAATATATACTAAATCATTCAAAGTAATCATTTTAAAATGCAAAAATAAATGAAAATCAAAGCAATTAAGTACATACAATAATAATAAAACGAAGGCCACCTAGAATGTTAATTGCATGGAAACTCAACAGTTTGATTCTAACGGAGTTAAGGAGCATAAATATGGATAATGATTAAGGGTACAATGATTAAAACAAATTGTACAAGTACATCTTGCTTTAGAGTTACACCAACATTTTTATAATTCCTAAAATACCCTAACCATCATTCGTGCTTATAAGTTTTTAAAAATCTATATATATATTAATCCACTTAAGTGAGTTTCCCGCTCACTATTAGGGACATTTGCGTAAATACGACTAATCTCTCTACTCTTCCAAATTTGACTCGTCTTTTCTTTAGCGTCTGGAAATTAGGGCGGCTCTGGATTTCAACTCACAGAGTCTTCAACCCCAGATTTCTCATTGAAGTTGGACACTCAATTACAACTCTCTTAACTTCGAGCGAATCTGGAATCTACTTTCCACTGCATCTACATTCTTTCGAGATCTCTTTCACTTCTCTAAAGATATTGCCACACGATTTTGCTCTGGAAATTCCTGCACTCTTTTGTATATTCATTGTCGACGATTTCCATTTAGTAAATTTCTCTTACTAATTTTGTTTGCGGATGTTACCCGGCCAAAAGCCCAAATTCTTTAATTTTAAGTCTGAACCGATGGGCAGCATAAGGGCAACCGGGCAAGGAGTCTAGGAGTGAGCAACAGATTGAAATTTCGGCCATGTCTGCAGCGTAAGAAGTGAAATCTGAAGCATCTCATACCCTCATCTACGAAAGTACGAATTACAGGTTATTTATTTATTGTTTTAATTATTTCATTTTGTATTATTTAGATTTTGGGTGGTTTAACTTTTGACTAAATACTGAGAATTACAGAGTATTTAGTTTAGCTTGGTGCTTGCCATTAGTTTATTGTTGTAGCCCGAAACTTTTTTCCTCTAAATATTTACTTTCCAAGTTTTAAAGTTCCACAATTACTCAAGTAAATAAAAAAATTGATCCCTTATTTGATATCTTTAAGGTAAGGTTGGTATTATCTAAATTTTGAATTAGGTTTTAACTATTTGGATCGACTCTTTTGTAACCATTGCCTTCTGCTACAACCTATTTTTTGTTTTTATTCATGCTCATTTGTGAAGTAGATTCTTCCTATGAGCACAAAGTCCATCTAACAAAATTATGAAAAAGATGTGTTTTGCTTCTTTGCAGTTTGGAACTCATGGGTCCAGCATGACAGAAGAGGGACTTAAGACACTAGATTTGAACTTAAGTCTGTTTCCCGCTTGTGAACAGGGACATTTGCCACCTTATTTCATTACACAGTGGACTTTTTATATAGATATGATAGAGTAAAGAACAGCCTTTTTGTTATTCAACCTAAATGTGAACCCCCATTATCGCAACAAGTGGCTTTGATGTCAAAAGTTCTATTTCTTTCTTTCTTTCTCTTTGGGCTATGATTTGAAAACACTAAGTAGTAAAAATGCAGTTTTAGTGTAATACACTAATGCCTTGTAACACCGTCCCCAAATACATTTACTTTCATGTAAATAATGTATTGAACCTTATTAAAGGATTAATGAATTTACGAGGTTGTAAATTTTTATTATTTCTTTCGCGTGAATAGTAAATTGCACGTGGGGCCCACACCGGGAGCGGGGGCCGCCCGACACTCCCGAGACCACATATTTTATTCATCTTAGTCAAGATAATATTTATATAGTGGTGAATATTTCATTTGGGTCGTGGAAGGGCGCATAGTTGACCGATTGGGAAAAAGGGGCCCAATTACCGGTACCGACAATTTAACAGGTAACAGCCCGGAAATGAATTTCGGAGGCTTACAAATTAAAGTTGGGGAAGGTATATTCATTATACATGTCATAATGAGTAAGGGCACATAATATATTTTATTTGACCCGATAAAATAAAATATATTTAAAACAGTCCGAAAAATACAACTTTCGGGACAAATTGCACACACCGGGACACAAAGGGATGACCTCCCACATGAGTGGGGGCCACCCCACGTTTTTGTGTGCAAGGGTTGACTAATTGGTGCCATAAGGACACATGAAGGATGGGTGATAGGATGGGAGGAACATGGTTGAAAGGTAATGGACCCCTTTCCACCCACTCATTGGCTAAAGGAGACAAAACCCACCTCTCCACCCTCTTTCATCTATCATGCTCGACCAACCAAGCAAAAGGAGGAAGGAAGGAGCTTTGCAAACCATTCCCATAGCTCAAAATTCGAGCTCAACCTAAGGGAGTCCAAAGAGGAAGATAAAAGAAGGAAAAAGTTGGGGAAAGTGTGATTTATTAAGGTAATGACCTTATTATAACTCTTCCTTTAATTTTCTTCTACCATATGAAGTATATATCATATTAAGGACCCTTAATATGGTTCCACATGTTATAAGTATGGATTTATGGGTTGGAAAGTGGTTCTATGTCCAAGAACGGACTTAGAAGCCGAAACGACCGGTTCACCGGAAAATAACCTTTTTGAGGTTATTTGTATTAATATGGGTTTTATGATTATAAAACCTTGTTAGGCACTTGTAAAGGGTATTTCAAGTGATTTCACAAAGTTGGAAAAAGTCGCCGGAGTTGTCGCCGGAGTTGACCAAGTCGCCGGAGTTTCACCGGAGTTCAACCAAGAAGGGTAGAACTTCTTAACGCTAGTTCAAGGTGAGTGGATGGCTTAATATCTTATAACTTTTGGGTTAATTATGAGATTACCTAAATAAATGTTATATGTGTTCATAATAATGTTTAAAAGATATTTAAACATGTGATTAGCCAACATTATTAAGTTGTATGAAAAGAATTTATTGTTTATGCACGAAATAAGATATGAGGAGTTATATAAAATGCATATTAGCTTGAAGTGTAAAAGAAGCACAAATGAGTATTATTAACTTAATTATATGATGATTAAGTTGATATGTACAAGGCTTGAATTGGCGGTCAACGACAACGTTGACCGATGGATAATGGATTAATTAATATCGATTGGTATTAATTAATTATACATTTACATAATTGCATGGCTTTGCATGGAATGTGATACATAAGTTTTATGTATTGAATTAGTTATGAATGATTAAATATGATATAGACCCTATCTAGTGTGATATGTGGTAAGTCATAGGTCGGGTGGAGTACCCAAGGATCGGGCGGTTATCCTCAAAACTCGGTTATATAGGGTGGAGTACCCAAGGATCGGGCGGTTATCCTCAAAACTCGGTTATATAGGGTGGAGTACCCAAGGATCGGGCGGTTATCCTCAAAACTCGGTTATATAGGGTGGAGTACCCAAGGATCGGGCGGTTATCCTCAAAACTCGGTTATATAGGGTGGAGTACCCAAGGATCGGGCGGTTATCCTCAAAACTCGGTTATATAGGGTGGAGTACCCAAGGATCGGGCGGTTATCCTCAAAACTCGGTTATATAGGGTGGAGTACCCAAGGATCGGGCGGTTATCCTCAAAACTCGGTTATATAGGGTGGAGTACCCAAGGATCGGGCGGTTATCCTCAAAACTCGGTTATATAGGGTGGAGTACCCAAGGATCGGGCGGTTATCCTCAAAACTCGGTTATAGGGTGGAGTACCCAAGGATCGGGTGTGTATCCTCAAAACTCAGAGATTACATATAATGATCTAGGACGGGGCGGTGTCCTTATGATAATTTACTTGAACAAGGAGGAGTTCTATACACTCATAGGCATATGGGTGGGTTGGGGTTTTTAGTCAAGAATATTGACTATTACTATTTTTCCCAAATAAACTGGTGATCTACGGATCGGATATTTTTCCAAGTATATATATATACTATTAAGTATTTCATAACTTGGGGGAAAGACTATTTATATAAGTATCACCCTATGTTTGGGTCTTATACTTGAAACGCTAGTTATTCTATATTTAGCCTGCTACTCGCTCGGTACTTGTACTGACCCCTTCGGGGGGCCCCACCATTTTCAGGTTGAAGCTAGGGCTTGCTACCTGCACCTCTCTTACGGGTGATATCGACTCAGGAAGACGTGGTTCGTGCTTCCTTATTTTCTTTCAAACTACCGAACACTTGCTCATGGATATTTGTTCTACTATAAACTATTTTTGGGGCTTGCATGCCCATGTTGTTGGCCGGTTGTGGCTTATGACTTACCGTTGAATATTTCCGCTATTCATTGGTTTAATGTGATGTTGTTATGTATGTTTACTACTGAGTATGGATGGATTATATTCTCGAACGCCTTGTGTAATTAAGTGAGGTTGACTCGCGGGTGACGTCACTTGGTTATACGGCGGTTGTACACGCGCTTGGATTGCGGTCTGGGGCGTGACAATTAAGTGGTATCAGAGCCATCTCAGTTCTAAACTATATAATCAACCTCTCACAAAAGATTTTACAAAAGAGTTTTTACCGAAAACCATGAGCATTGTATTTTGACGTTTATAGGACTATTGGTGCTTAAGTTGCAAGGCCTCTAATTGTTAAGACGGTACCCTTAACAATTGGTATGGTGGCGACTTGGGTCGATACGTGTCTATAACGTTTTTCCGTCAATTGACATTCATAGGAGTCTAAAGACTCGTCCAAATTCCGTTTCAGAAATGGAGGGTAAGCGAATGGCAACAAGAAATGACCCTAAGGGACAAGCGTCGGTAGCTTACCTTGAGGCTAGCCGGGCTGTGTCACGAGCCTTTACGGGGAGAGGAATAGGTCATGGGGGCCGTGAGGGCCGCCAAGCGGCAAACGCTAATCAAGTGGGCTCGATGTGTAACATGAACACCAGGAGGAACGAACGTAGGCGTCAGGCGAGGCGAGATCGGGCCACCTCCCAACGTGATATGACTGTCAGCCAAACCCATCCTTGGGCAAACGACCAAGGAGAAGAAAGCACTCTTACGGCACCGGCATCACCGGTGAAAAAGAAAAGGAACTCAAAGTGGCACACGTCCTTTCCTTACTCCTTAAGACCATCCAAATGTTCTAATTGCTCTAAGAAACATTTTGGAAAGTGCAATGAGCCCCCGATGTGCTACAAATGTGGGAGCACAACCCATATGAAATTAAGTTGCCCATGGAGGAGGCAACGAGAGACATTGCAAGCCGAGGAAGGGCTCACCGTGGAAGGAAACCATACGGAACCAACGATGAGCAACGCTACGTCCGTCAATCAAGGCGGGGCCCAAGCAAGGGTCTACGCAATGACCGAGGCGGATGCGAGAGCAAACCCGGACTCCGTTGCAGGTAAACACGTATTCCCATGTATTTCTAGGCTTACTTTGGTCATATACGTCGTTGGGATTGAGTGCGGGCCACCCCGGGGTCAAACCGGGTGAGTTAGGCCGAATCGGGCTGGAAACAGCCACTGCTGGCCAGGCACGCCCTCAGGCACGCCGTGCCTGGCATCGTGCCTGGAAGGCAGTGGCACCCGAAGAAGAAAAAAAAAAAAAAAAAAATTTGGGCCAGGCACGGCCGCAGGCACGCCGTGCCTGGCGTCGTGCCTGGAAGGCAGTGTGTCCGAAGAAATTTTTTGGCCAGGCACGGCCGAAGGCACGCCGTGCCTGGCATCGTGCCTGGCCGGCAGTGGCAAGCAGGGTGAGATTGTTGCACGCACGGCCGTGCGTGCCACCCAGGCACGCCGTGCGTGGACCCCCCAACACCCGAAAGTTGATTTTTTTCGCCCCGTTCTTCTACGTTTGGACCCCCGTTTGTTTCCAAACATTAGTATTAACTTAATAACCTCCTAAAGATGTGTAAAAACACTAGAAAATGTATCTTACATGGTGTATAAATGTAGGAACATTAAAGATCAATGGTAGGTGTGCGAGGATCCTCATCGATACCGGGGCACAACGCTCATTCGTGAGTGAGGCGTTCGCCGAGGGCCTTGACGTGCCATTGACACCTATGACGCAAGCGTTGCTAGTCTCCACACCGTTAGGAGACGACGTGGAGAGAGGTCATTACTATCCCTCGTGTGAGGTAGAAGTGACGGGTCAACCTTTGACTTGTGATTTCGTACCTCTGAGCATGTTGGAGTTCGATGCAATCCTAGGAATGGATTGGCTCGAGAAACACCATGCTCGAGTGGATTGCTACACCAAGGTGTTGGAGCTTGAGGATGATCAAAGTAATATGCTACGTTTTGAAGGAGATCGGGGGAAATCTAATGCTTGTATCATATCCGTGATGAGAGCACGAAAGATGATGAGGAAGGGATGTCACGCATACCTTGCTTACGTGGTAGATGATACGAAGAAAGAAGTCGACATCAAGGATGTTCGAGTCGTGTGCAAGTACCCGGACGTCTTTCCCAAGGACCTACCGGGGCTTCCACCCGATAGAGAGATTGAATTTGTAATCGAAGTGGAGCCGGGAACCAAACCCATTTCGATTCCTCCTTATCGAATGGCACCGGCCGAACTTCGAGAGTTGAAGGTCCAACTACAAGAACTATTGGACAACGGGTTCATCTGACCCAGTCATTCACCGTGGGGAGCACCCGTACTATTCGTAAAGAAGAAAGATGGTACACTAAGAATGTGTATCAACTACCGACAGTTGAACAAGGTCACCATCAAGAACAGGTATCCCTTACCGAGGATTGATGACTTGTTCGATCAACTTCGAGGAGCAATAGTGTTCTCGAAGATTGACTTGAGGTCGGGGTATCATCAGTTGAAGATCAAGGAGAGTGACATACCTAAGAGTGCATTTCGCACTAGATATGGTCATTATGAATTCCTTGTGATGTCGTTTGGTTTAACCAACGCACCGGCGGCATTCATGGACTTGATGAACCGTGTGTTTAGTGAATACTTAGACCAATTTGTGATAGTATTCATTGACGACATCTTGATATACTCCAAGAGCGAGGAAGAGCACGAACACCATTTGAGGCTTGTACTTGATCGGCTAAGGGAAAAGCGACTCTTCGCCAAGTTCTCCAAATGCGAATTTTGGCTCAAAGAGATTGGTTTCCTCGGTCATGCCATATCCGGTTCAGGTGTTGCTGTGGATAACGCCAAGATAAAAGCGATCATGGATTGGGAGAGACCCAGGAATGCGAAGGAGATACGTAGTTTCCTCGGCTTAGCGGGATACTATCGTAAATTTGTGGAAAAATCCTCCGTATTGGCGTCCCCATTAACGAAGCTCACAGAGAAAGGGGCCAAGTTCATATGGGACGACAAATGTGAGAAGGGGTTCCTTGGATTGAAGAAACGACTTACCGAAGCACCAGTCCTTGCCCTACCCATACAGGGGATAGGGTATGACATTTATAGCGACGCTAGCATCCAAGGGCTTGGATGTGTACTGATGCAAAACGGTAAGGTGATTGCCTATGCTTCTAGGCAATTGAGGAGACACGAGGTGAACTACCCTACTCACGATCTAGAGTTGGGGGCGGTAGTGTTTGCATTGAAGATTTGGAGGCATTATCTCTACGGGGAGACGTGTCACATTTATACTGATCATAAGAGCCTGAAGCATGTATTCACTCAGAAAGAGTTGAATATGAGGCAGAGGAGATGGATGGAGTTGATCAAGGACTATGACTTGATCATCGACTATCATCCCGGAAAGGCCAATGTAGTGGCCGACGCACTGAGCAGGAAGAGTACGTCGGGGACGCTACTCACATGTCTACAGGCATTGAGGGCGCACGTGGAGGTATCCACGAGCGGGGCGCTCATTGCTAGGTTTGAGGTCAGACCTACATTGCTGGGTGAGATCAGTAGATGTCAGGCCATTGACGAGGAGTGTCAGAAGATTCGTGAACAAATCATTGAGGGGCCTGTTGAGAACTTCCGTGTACGTGACGATGGTCTATTATTGTTTAAGGATCGTGTGTGCATACCAAAGAAGGAAGACCTTCAGAAGTCTATACTTGAGGAGGCTCATTCTTCAGCTTATGCTATGCATCCAGGAGGTACTAAGATGTACCGGGACCTGAAGGAAAGTTACTGGTGGTCGGGTATGAAGAGAGACATCGCCGAGCATGTGAGTCGATGCCTTACTTGTCAGCAAGTTAAGGCAGAACACCAGCACCCGGCAGGACTTTTGCAGCCACTCACCATCCCAGAGTGGAAGTGGGAGCACGTGACCATGGACTTCGTGGTGGGGCTACCACGAACGGTGAGCAACTATGATGCAGTTGGGCAGTGGTTGATAGGCTCACCAAGAGTGCATACTTTTTGCCTATCAACATTACTTATCCTCTTGAAAGATTGGCCAAGCTATACACGGAGGAGATTGTGAGATTACATGGAGTCCCAATATCCATTGTCTCGGATAGGGATCCACGATTCACATCCCGATTTTGGCCAAAGTTTCAAGCATCTTTGGGGACCAAATTGAAGTTTAACACAACTTTTCACCCACAGACGGATGGACAGTCCGAGCGGGTGATACAGATTTTGGAAGACATGCTTAGGGCATGTGCTTTGGAGTTCCAAGGAAGTTGGGACAAGCATTTAGCCCTAGTGGAGTTTGCCTATAACAACAGTTATCAGGCAAGTATCGGCATGCCTCCATATGAGGCATTGTATGGGAGGAAGTGCAGAACACCGTTGTGTTGGGACGAGGTTGGCGAGGCCAAACTCGAAGGGATAGAGCTGGTTGAGATCACCAAGGCCAAGGTGAGGATCATTCGGGATAGACTGAAGGCCGCTCAGGACCGACAGAAGAGTTATGCTGATAAACGGCGGAGACCGTTGGAGTTCGAAGTCGGTAATGAGGTCTTCCTAATGGATTTCTCCTTGGAAGGGCATCATCCGATTCGTATCGAGGGGAAAGCTTAACCCCCGATACATAGGTCCGTTTGAAATCCTTGAAAGGATCGGGGCCGTGGCTTACCGACTCAAGTTGACGCCTGAACTTGAGAAGATACATGACGTGTTTCATGTATCAATGCTCAAGAAGTACATACGAGACCCATCTCATATTCTCGAGAGACCACCGGTAGAGATCCGTGAGGACTTGCAATATGCGGTGGAACCAGTGAAGATTGTTGGTCAACAAGTGAAGAAGCTTAGGAATAAGGAGATTCCTATGGTAAAGGTCCCTTGGAGGAGTGATCGAGTCGGAGAAGAAACTTGGGAGACCGAGGTCTCAATGAGGGAGCAATATCCATTTCTTTTCGATTAGATACTTGGATTTCGGGGACGAAATCCCAAATAAGGGGGGGTGAACTTGTAACACCGTCCCCAAATACATTTACTTTCATGTAAATAATGTATTGAACCTTATTAAAGGATTAATGAATTTACGAGGTTGTAAATTTTTATTATTTCTTTCGCGTGAATAGTAAATTGCACGTGGGGCCCACACCGGGAGCGGGGGCCGCCCGACACTCCCGAGACCACATATTTTATTCATCTTAGTCAAGATAATATTTATATAGTGGTGAATATTTCATTTGGGTCGTGGAAGGGCGCATAGTTGACCGATTGGGAAAAAGGGGCCCAATTACCGGTACCGACAATTTAACAGGTAACAGCCCGGAAATGAATTTCGGAGGCTTACAAATTAAAGTTGGGGAAGGTATATTCATTATACATGTCATAATGAGTAAGGGCACATAATATATTTTATTTGACCCGATAAAATAAAATATATTTAAAACAGTCCGAAAAATACAACTTTCGGGACAAATTGCACACACCGGGACACAAAGGGATGACCTCCCACATGAGTGGGGGCCACCCCACGTTTTTGTGTGCAAGGGTTGACTAATTGGTGCCATAAGGACACATGAAGGATGGGTGATAGGATGGGAGGAACATGGTTGAAAGGTAATGGACCCCTTTCCACCCACTCATTGGCTAAAGGAGACAAAACCCACCTCTCCACCCTCTTTCATCTATCATGCTCGACCAACCAAGCAAAAGGAGGAAGGAAGGAGCTTTGCAAACCATTCCCATAGCTCAAAATTCGAGCTCAACCTAAGGGAGTCCAAAGAGGAAGATAAAAGAAGGAAAAAGTTGGGGAAAGTGTGATTTATTAAGGTAATGACCTTATTATAACTCTTCCTTTAATTTTCTTCTACCATATGAAGTATATATCATATTAAGGACCCTTAATATGGTTCCACATGTTATAAGTATGGATTTATGGGTTGGAAAGTGGTTCTATGTCCAAGAACGGACTTAGAAGCCGAAACGACCGGTTCACCGGAAAATAACCTTTTTGAGGTTATTTGTATTAATATGGGTTTTATGATTATAAAACCTTGTTAGGCACTTGTAAAGGGTATTTCAAGTGATTTCACAAAGTTGGAAAAAGTCGCCGGAGTTGTCGCCGGAGTTGACCAAGTCGCCGGAGTTTCACCGGAGTTCAACCAAGAAGGGTAGAACTTCTTAACGCTAGTTCAAGGTGAGTGGATGGCTTAATATCTTATAACTTTTGGGTTAATTATGAGATTACCTAAATAAATGTTATATGTGTTCATAATAATGTTTAAAAGATATTTAAACATGTGATTAGCCAACATTATTAAGTTGTATGAAAAGAATTTATTGTTTATGCACGAAATAAGATATGAGGAGTTATATAAAATGCATATTAGCTTGAAGTGTAAAAGAAGCACAAATGAGTATTATTAACTTAATTATATGATGATTAAGTTGATATGTACAAGGCTTGAATTGGCGGTCAACGACAACGTTGACCGATGGATAATGGATTAATTAATATCGATTGGTATTAATTAATTATACATTTACATAATTGCATGGCTTTGCATGGAATGTGATACATAAGTTTTATGTATTGAATTAGTTATGAATGATTAAATATGATATAGACCCTATCTAGTGTGATATGTGGTAAGTCATAGGTCGGGTGGAGTACCCAAGGATCGGGCGGTTATCCTCAAAACTCGGTTATATAGGGTGGAGTACCCAAGGATCGGGCGGTTATCCTCAAAACTCGGTTATATAGGGTGGAGTACCCAAGGATCGGGCGGTTATCCTCAAAACTCGGTTATATAGGGTGGAGTACCCAAGGATCGGGCGGTTATCCTCAAAACTCGGTTATATAGGGTGGAGTACCCAAGGATCGGGCGGTTATCCTCAAAACTCGGTTATATAGGGTGGAGTACCCAAGGATCGGGCGGTTATCCTCAAAACTCGGTTATATAGGGTGGAGTACCCAAGGATCGGGCGGTTATCCTCAAAACTCGGTTATATAGGGTGGAGTACCCAAGGATCGGGCGGTTATCCTCAAAACTCGGTTATATAGGGTGGAGTACCCAAGGATCGGGCGGTTATCCTCAAAACTCGGTTATAGGGTGGAGTACCCAAGGATCGGGTGTGTATCCTCAAAACTCAGAGATTACATATAATGATCTAGGACGGGGCGGTGTCCTTATGATAATTTACTTGAACAAGGAGGAGTTCTATACACTCATAGGCATATGGGTGGGTTGGGGTTTTTAGTCAAGAATATTGACTATTACTATTTTTCCCAAATAAACTGGTGATCTACGGATCGGATATTTTTCCAAGTATATATATATACTATTAAGTATTTCATAACTTGGGGGAAAGACTATTTATATAAGTATCACCCTATGTTTGGGTCTTATACTTGAAACGCTAGTTATTCTATATTTAGCCTGCTACTCGCTCGGTACTTGTACTGACCCCTTCGGGGGGCCCCACCATTTTCAGGTTGAAGCTAGGGCTTGCTACCTGCACCTCTCTTACGGGTGATATCGACTCAGGAAGACGTGGTTCGTGCTTCCTTATTTTCTTTCAAACTACCGAACACTTGCTCATGGATATTTGTTCTACTATAAACTATTTTTGGGGCTTGCATGCCCATGTTGTTGGCCGGTTGTGGCTTATGACTTACCGTTGAATATTTCCGCTATTCATTGGTTTAATGTGATGTTGTTATGTATGTTTACTACTGAGTATGGATGGATTATATTCTCGAACGCCTTGTGTAATTAAGTGAGGTTGACTCGCGGGTGACGTCACTTGGTTATACGGCGGTTGTACACGCGCTTGGATTGCGGTCTGGGGCGTGACATGCCTGCTGCAATTATTTAAAACAAAAAATTGGTCATATCAAGAGTCTGTATGCCTCTGTCTCCTGCCTATAAATTATCATTTGTGTAAATACAATTGCGCTTTCTATTCTTCTGAGTTTGGAAATTAGGGCTCTCGAGCTATTTGAACACACAAAATCCTTCAACACCAAACTTCTCACTGAAGTTGGAGTCTCGCTTACAGCTCCGAATTCTCCCTTCAAATTCTTTTTGCAGGATGTTACTATGCAGCTGGACGACAAGGGTGTTCTGTTGGTGAGAGTCGTACGTATGAACCCTACATATTTGACACGATTCACATGAATGAGGAGGTGAAATTCTTATTAATTACCCATTATTTGGTGTACTTTGAATGTCCTTTGGTGCTTCGCTCCGATTTCTACCATTGTCACTACCAGTGGTATTTGATTCTGTCTATTTTGTGAATACGAGTCTTTAAAGAGCCTGGAGCTATTCTTCTTGGTTACTCTTTCGTTCTTAACATAACTTGGCCTTTCTCTTATAAATATTGAGCAGTATTTGGAGTCGTTTCTCTGCTATTCAACAAATCTTTTAATAAACATATACTACATACTTTTTATGTAAAATGGTGGGCTTTCATTAATCCACTTGAAAACACACCCGTTAAAAAATATATTGGCTTAATGCTTTAAGATTACTCGGATTGCTTCTTTTTCTTCAATTCTTATTCTACTTTTGGGTTATGATATAAGATCATAATAATGGCAATCACTAATGCAGTTTTAGTGTAATACATTAATGCCTGCTGCAATTATTTAAAACAAAGAATTGGTCATATCAAGAGTTTGTATGCCTCTGGCTCCTGCCTATAAATTGTCATTGGTTTTATTTCTAGATATTTTAATTGCAAGAAGTGAAAAAAACATATTTCTTAGTTAATGCAAATAAAGAATGAGAATCAAAAGTTTAGTGTAAGCAGTAAAAATACATGTTTATATATTTTAGTTTGGTTCATATATCATATATCTATATATCTATGTTTAACTCACTAAAGTATCCCGCCTAATACTGGGGTATCTTTGTTATCGGTCCTATCTCAGCTCTATCCACAAGAACATCTCTTACATCATATTTTCTTATAACATCATATAAACTTAAATGTGTGTTCATTGAAAGTAGTGAGATAAGCATTTGCTTCTAATTAATTCCATTTTGGGTTGATAGTTTTGTCTCGATGTTCGTCATTAACAAACTCTATTGGATTTTTATAGTTCCCTTGGTTGTTAACTCCATTGACAAGTTGCTTGCTATTAAACATGTTTTGCTATTCGATTTGATAATTAATTTATCCTTAACGTGTTCAGTGATTATTCAGTGTTTGTACTAATACTGTGCACCATTGTCAAAATCAAATTTGAATTAAAATCAATTCATATTTAACCTATGTCACTGGCTTTATTATTTAGAGATGTTTTTTAAAGAAGCTTTATTATCTAGAGATTATGTTGGATTTTTGGTAAACTTAAAATGTTTCCAATGGACTTTGTTGTACCAAACATGTGAAAAAATCTCGCACTACAAAGGCCATAAACTAAATGCAGCTAAGTGTTTGACTTGAGCATTCACTAATATGTGGTAAAGGTTAATGTGAGTCAGGATTTGTTACGTTGTTTATTTGGGATAGTGAGTGTCAGTAGTTGGTACACAAAACTGCGGGACAATTGGGTGAAAGTTTGAACCTAATATGAGGTTACGTAACAATTGCATGGTTCTTGCTATTATAATTTCGTATGAATATTTACACATTTTATCTTTTTTTATTAATAGAAAAAGCTCATGAAAAGGCGACACCAAAAGAAATTGATGGTTTGGTTGGCCTTCATCTTTTCTTTAGAGTTGATATTATTAATCAAATTTTACAAAACACGAGATTAAGAAATTGTTCTCTCTTCGGGTATTAGGTAGGTTGGACGATTGCAGGATTGAATTGAGAAAAATCGGTTGCAAGATTTTAATGTGTAAAGATTGGGCACAAGTTCTATTTTACAGTCAGTTACAAGTGTATGGTATATGAATTGCATATATGCAATTTCTCTTTTTATTGTATAACAGTAATCTTTTTAAAGATTGGACACAAGTTCTATTTTATATTTTATAGACTATCACCGGAATTTTGGCTTAGGTGATGTCAAAAATTTGTATTTAAATAATTACACCTACTTTCAGTTCATATATTAATGGTACATTCTATTAGACTATTTTGAATTTGACAATATTTGAATAGATTAAATGACTTTACACATAACTTTTTAGTTTGACATTCCGTGCAACGCACGGGTAAAAGACTAGTTAAGATTAAGATATCAAAGATCTATCGCTCAATCAAATCAATTACTTCATGTCAAATGCAAAAATACAAAAGACATCATATGTTCGCTACGGAGTATTATACCGACTACCGAGTACTACTCCATTTCACCCACTAGTAAACTCACCCGTGCGATGCACGGTTGGAGAATTTTCCTTCAAATTTATTTGTGTTCACTAATTCAAATTACACTATAAATTGATGAGAACATCTATCTCCATGGAATATTGATATAACTTCAAACAATAATCAAAACACACTTATAATATATATTATAAGGGGTTACTATGCTGAAAAATGTATAGGGCTTCTGCAAGTACCGGGGACAGAGCCCCACTCTCTATCTGTCAGATTGTGATTATAGTCCAATTTACATCCTCCCATCGTGCCGTCCGGTCGGTGTTGGGGGGCTCTCAGGGATGGGGTGTCATCCTTTTTTATAGTTAAAAAGAGAACACTACGCATTACTTAAAAGATTAAAAACACCCAACAAATACTTAGAAACCATAACATTGTGAATATACATTTCATGTAACTCTAAACATTGTTGAACATGTTTTGAATACAACATTCTGAGTCTTGTCAGTAGTTCCTTCTTCTTCATCAATACCTGTGGTGAAATTTCGCGGGTATAATTAACATTAGCCAACATTTTAATTAAAAAATAAGCAAACTTGTAATTTTAATTGAATTGTTTAGAATTATACTCCATACAATAATAAAACTTGACGTAAATGAAACATATTAAATTCAATTTACTAATGATTACAGAGTAGTACATTATTTTTTATAGCCACAAAATAGTAACACGCAATATAAACATCATTTGAAAACAACTTACATTTCATGACAAATTTAATGAAACACTTCTTTGTACCTTCTGTCTAGCATTAACTCTTGTCAAAAAGGGAAATTACACTAAATAGGACAAAAAAAGTTTTATGTATTCCAAAATTGGACCTTAAGCATGACAATATTTTTCAAGCTTGACATTAATTACGCCTATTTTGGCAATAAAAAATATGACAATCTTATTTTGGAATTCTCAAACTTATTTACTCATATTTAAAAAAAATCCTTATTAAAACCCATAATTCAAGTAAATTTTTGACAAAGAATTTTTTTCATTTTAAAATCAAATGTCTATATATGTTAACTGAAGGTATAAATTTTTATAATTACTAAATAATATGAATGGTGACATTACATCTGCACGAATTGCATTATTTAGACGAATTGCTGATGTAACCTGGCAAATCAGGGGGGGTGCAGATATGTGAAAATGTGTTATGTCTTTATCTATATGAATCGCATTCTTTAGACGAATTGCTGATGTGACCTGGCAAATCAGGGGTGTGTGCAGATATGTGAAAATGTATTATGTCTTTATCTATACGAATTGAATTATTTAGACGAATTGCTGATGTAGCTTAGCAAATCAGGGGGTGTGCACAAATTATTCAACTCAAATCGTTATCTAAACTTTAACATCATTGATAAAGAAAATTCAAATTGGCAACGGATGGATTAATACACCACAAAATGAGGTACTCCCTCCGCCCCCCTTATATTATCCTGTTTTACCTTTTTGGGAAGTCCCATTAAAATTGTCACATATCATATTTGATAAAGTCTGTGTAGCTCTAAATCATTCTTACTTTATCAATTAATAATAACCACACAAACCCACTTTCTTAATAATCGTGTCACCCTCTTCGGTCGCAATATAAAAGGGACGGCGGTAGTATTTCTTAACCTAAGGATTGTGTTTCGGCCCAATAGAAACAAATGCGAAATTCATAAATAGTGAAACCGACTTCAAAAGCCAATAAAAATCAGACACCATTCACCAACTTCTTTCAAATTAATTTCCCGGACCTGAAAAATCTGAACACAAAAATTGAATTTGCAATTTTTTTTATGGAAAAATGAACAAAAGCATGATGTTGACATTTTTGGGGAACCCTATTCATCAAAAAATGTGTGATTAATAAAGAAAAGTGTGCTTGCTCATCAATTCTACATTATTTATAAAATTTGGGAAAATAATCAATATTATGCATCAAACTTGGATGGTTTTATGTTTAGATAGTGTTGATTTTCCAGAAGTCATAACTCTTTACTTGTAATGAGTTACGGGGGCCATAATATATCAAATCGAAGATATTTCATAGCTCTACACTCTCAAACTTTCAGCGGGATCGGTTGATCCCCTAGCTCCGCCCCTGCTCCCAAGTCCCAAGGAGTGTCGGTCGGTCACTTGTGTCGAGAGAGAGAGAGAGATTTCGGGTTTCGGGCATAGCTTCGAGAAAAATTGTGTGAGCGTTGAGTGTTAGCCAGTGTCGTTTGCCATGAAGAACATCAGATCGCTCACTGAAGAACGGAGAGTCCCATTTGGACCAGAAATTGGGCTACGAAGTTTGTTTGGCGAGGACGGTGCACGCCGATTTAGTATTGGCCCGTCTGAGAAGATATACACACTTCCTATTAAACAGTACACTTGCTAGAATAAACTTGGAGGCCTTTAGTTCTGAAAACTGAATGAAACTCCAGAATAATGCTTGTAAAAAATAATACGGAGTATAACCGGAATTTGAACATGCATACCAAAAATAGTTTTTTTTAAGGTACTAAAATTAGTTTTTTTAAAAAATTAATTTAAAAAAGAATGTCAATTGATTTCTATAAAAATAACAATAACATTTATATTCAAAAAAGAAA